CAAAGACTCACCTAGATTACTATAGTTAAAATATAATTTAAAGAAATACTATATTTGGCCCAATAGTAGGACCAAGTGTTAATTTTCTTTCTGATCTGACCAACCGGTGAGCAGGTTCCTGTGCGTAAATAAAGTTGATCTAGTTTTTCATATAGGCAAGAATATGTGTAAGTTTTCTGTATGCAATTAATGTTTTTGGAGTTCAGATCTAGACTGAAATCTTCTGAGTCTAAGGTAGTAGTGTACTGAGTAGCGTTAGGTTTATTATAAGGATAAGATAATTGATGTTGTTTTTTTCAGTTAGCAAAGTTTGAACAATATGGTTTCCATAACTGTTTATATAATTGTTCATTAATTTTAAGCAGTAGATTAATAATAACATTGGATGCTATTTTGTAAAGAATATTATAGTTTTGTAGCATTTGGATTAGAGATAGAGGAATTAAACCTTTAAGAGTGGGCTCAATATAGTATGAGTAGATTTGAAGAGCTATATTGTAAAATGCCTTATATTTGTAAACTTTTTGGATTAGTTTTTCTAATTCGTTGTTGGTAATATCTAGTTTTGCAGAGTGAAAATAGTCTGTAATAGTAGATAAAATTATTTGTTTAAGTAGAATAGGGTTGATGCAAGTACGCCAATATGATAGAGAGTTCTGAGAACCACAGTAGAAGCAGTTATTATTAGAGAAAGATTTGGGATAAATAGAGTGGTAGAGTGAGTGTATAGAAAGTTTATTAAGCAGTGTTTTAATTTTAAAAAATTTGAGTTGGTTAAGCTTAAAGTTTGTGAAATATGTTGTAACTTTTTGGTTGTGATTGAAATAAAGCTATGTAGATCTTCAGTCTATTTGTTTGTTAAGTGAGGACCATTCGTTGTTGCATTTTTGAGATAACCACATTGCTAAGATGTGGGCTTTACAGATTGTTTTAATAAAATATCTAGTAGGATATTCAACTGAAAACAGATCTTCTTCCTATTACAAGGTATAGAATGGGTTGTAGATATTAGTGTAGTTAAAATGTAATGATGTTTCAGATATGTGTTGTTTGGCTAATGAATCAGCTAGATTATTAAAAATATTATCAGTATAAGCCTAAACTTTATAAAAAATAAGATGTAGTTAAAAGATTGGATTAAATTGAGAAGCATATGCCACAAAGGCCATGAATTAAATTTTAAAAGCTTGTTAGGATTGGTAGTAGTGGAGTTGAGTTTAATAAATTTGAAAATAATAGATTGAGAGTCTGTATAGATATTAATAAAGAAATTACGAGGGGTAGTTGAGATAGCAGATAAAATAAAAAAGAGTTCAGCTTTGTATAAAGTTGGCCATAAATAGATCTTGGCTGAGAATTCGTGAATTATTTGATTGTTATCATCTATTAGAGCCCAACCTATACCCATAGAGTACTGGTTGGTACCAATATTGATAATTGAACCATCTGTATAAAAGTTAAAAGTATTATAAGTAGAGTTTGATAATAAAATTTTAATTAATTTGTCTGTTTTGTTACTAGAATAAAAGATTTCTAATGCAGCTGAGTAAGAAATAGGGATATATAATAGTATATAGGGTGAAGGAGGAGAAATGAGATATTTAATAGCTGTAGAAAAGATAAGGTTCATATAGTTGGCATTAAATTTAAAAGAATTGGAAGAGGTTCTGCTAAAAAATTGTATAGATGTGATAGCTGATATATTGATTGTACAGGCTGAAGTTATTCTGTTAGAGTTAAGGTGGCAACCAGGGTATGGATTGCAGTTAATTAGTGGAAATGAGTAGTATGTAGCATTATCAGTATTAATATTTGTTTGCTAGTGAGTAATAGAAATTCTATTAGAATCTGTAAGATGTGTATAGATCTTGCCAATAATAATTTCATTGTCATTAAAAGAGAGTAGCCATGGTTTAGATCTTTTTGGAATATTGTACATATTATAAGCGAAGATATTAATATCCTGTTGTTAGAATTGTATATATAGAGAGTGTTGATGTGTATTTTCAAGAACTATACTTTCAAGTATTTGGAACCATAATAGTTTTTTCCTTTTGGTAAATATAAAAGTCTAGGTGAGAGATGTTTCCATATCAATAGCGTAGTATTGTCAGCTGTGCATAATTGTTCAAGATAAAGTAGCTTAAGTTTTCTAAGTTCAGTCCAGTATTTTACCCAATTTAGAAATCAGATCTAGAATATTTCAAATCACGTCTTGAAATCTAATTGGTAGACGATCATCCTTATCGACGCAAAACCGTGAACTTCATAACATCAAAAAAAAAATTTGCACAATTTTTTAAAAAAACTAATTGTCAAAATACATTTTTCAAAACCCGTAGTTTAAGAATTCACAAGAATCCACGAAAGTTTATAGTGTAGTTTTTTTTTTATTCTTGCTTAAAATACATATATATTCGTATATAGACATGGCGATTTCGAGAACAGAAGCCAAAGATTTACCTTGTTTGTTTAACTTTCTTGCTGGGGATTATCCGGGAAGTGAGTTGGCAATATGTAAAACTCCTGAAAAGCAAAGGTAGTGACATGCGGATACCCCCATAGTCGAGAATAAAGCCAAGGGTTTGGTTAAGTATCTTCCAAAATTATCACTATTACTTGGTTCTTTGAACAATTACTCTGTATGTTAAAAATATTACAACAATATAATCATTAAAAATTTTTTTCTTGAGCAAATAGAAAAAGTTGGTGATTCTGTTTTTTATGTTCTAATGAAAAAAACTAAAAAAAAAGTTTTGTTTGATAATGAAATAAATTTTCGTAATTCTGGGATTCAAGTATCATTACCCAAACATTCTTGTGATTTTGAAATCCAAGTTTCGTTACCGAATTCTGAATATGAAAGTCTTATTAAAAAAATTAATGAATTAGAACGTTTAAATCAACAATTACTACTTGAGAATAATTTGTTAAAAAAAAATTAAATAATAAATACAATAACCAACAAGAGCGTGTTAAAGCCATTGTAGAAATTGCTAAACGAGAACGAATTGCCTTGTATGATGATGTCGTTAAATTAATAAATAACTGTGAGCGCTTTTGTTTAGATAGTCTCTTAAATTATTCCCCATCTCAATGGCTTATAATGTGTAATCCAGTTGTAGTAGAATTTATAAAAACTCTTACGCATAATGAAAATGAAGACCATTACGAAAGAGAAAAACTTTTTAAATGTGTCGTAGCAATAGATAATATATATAGAATAAGACATTTAAAATATGTGTCTTTGATTAATTTAGCACTATCGGCAATAAAATACTCTATAGCAAAGTCCAAAACGATAATTGATATCGATAGCCATATTATAAATACTGGTGGTTTTACCAAATTTATTAATTAGCAAGAAACTTTAGCAGATAATTCAGAATCATTTTTAAATGGTTTGGTATTTATGGCATTTGATAACGAACAAAAAGGCCAAAAAAATTATTTAGATTGTGGATATAATACAGTCAGGGATATTATCAAAAATGGATATCGGTTCTAGAACATTTCTAGAATGATTTACTAACAAATTGCAAATTTTGATTGGCTCTTGACGATTTTTTTAGAGCCAAGATTTTACATTTTAGTGTAATATCCGTTTATACTTAAACGATATATAAATTCAAAGTAAAAATACTCTAGATTAATAATCTGTAACGATCCCGTTATAATACAATTTTTTAAAAAAGGTAAATGAAAAGTAAAAATTCGCTATTTAGATATCATTAAAACTACATATTCACTTTTTTTTTTTTAAGACTAATATTACAGTATTAAGAAAGATGTCACAATCCTCATCAGTCAAGCAAGTACCAAAAGCCAAAGAACTTCCCTGCATATTTCTTGATCTAGTTCGTAATTACAGTAGTTGAGGGTTAAGCGTTTGTGGAATGCCAAAATCAGATCATTGGAGAAACGCTAATGTGCTAGCAGCGGCTAGAAAACTTGAAGTACTTAAAGATTTAATACCAGAACTTAGTGATCGACAATTTTCCCAATTTTCTCAATTTTCTCTTTGTATAAACCATTATAATCAAGTTGTAGTTTCTGATCATTTTTATCAACAACTTTTAGGTAGTTCTAGTAACAGATCCCGTTTTGAAGATAGTTCTAATAACGATTCCACTTCTGCTTCTGAATTTAATGAAATGATTGTTGAAGATATATCACACCACTTGTTAGATTTTGAAATACTTGCAGAAAATAATAAGTATATAATGACAGAATTACAACGGCAAGTAAAAATAAAAATGATGTAATATCCAGGTTAAACAAGCAACTAGAAGAATGCTATAAAATGATAGCTCAGCTAAGTCAATTATACAAAAGCCAACATGAAGTAAATGGATAGCTAACTGAATAGTGAAATTCTCGGTATAGCAATCAAAATAAGTGTATACAAGCCATTATTGATATTGCATTAATCGAACGAAAATCATTATATGAAGATGTCGAATCTCTTATTAGAAATAATAATAGATTTTCTCTAGAAAATCTATTAGAATATACTCCACAAACATGGCTAAGTAAACGTAATCCGGTTGTTGTAAAATTTATCAAAACACTAACTAGTAATAATTTAAATGCAGGTTTTAAAAATGCTGAAAAACTTTATAAGAGGGCGGTGGCAGTTGATTCAGTATACGGGTCCAGACATGAAAAATATGTTTTGGAAATGGGTCTTATAGCATCAGCCATTAAATATTCCATCGCATGATCCAAAACTATCATTAATATTGATAACCATATTACAAGCTCAGGAAGTTATTCTAGTTTTCAGAAATGGTTAGACGAATTAGATGAAAAAGAGGAAATTTTACCAGATGGTCTTTTGTTCTTAGCGTTCGATAATGAGCAAAGGGGGGCAAAAAAATTATTTAAATCGAGGACTTAATACAGTTATATTTCATATTGTCACCAGTTTTGTTGTTTTCAATATGGACCCTCATAATCGAATCCAGCATACTAATGATAATCCTTGGGCTTTTAATTCCCTAAGTAGATTGCAATACGAAAGCCTTTTTGATACTATACCTGAAATGCGAGAAGTTATTAACCAAGAATTACATACTTATATTTCTAAATTACTTGATTTGTTATGTGAAGAAAAATCATCCGCGACTAATACGATTGATTCATTAGCTTCTAATATAGGTTCAAGTAGTCATTGTAGTAAATATTGTTCTAGCTGTAACGAGAAGAATATTGATAATCAGAAGCAGGTGTGCCCTAAGTGTAAATCTCGTCTACCTACGTTAACAGAAATGTCAAAAGATGATGATAAAGGTGAGAATATAACAGAAAAGTTGATTGTATTTAAGCCATATAGTATTGAAGAGCAGATTCGACGATCCAATACACCAAGAATTAGCATAACTCAAAAAGCACATGCCGATCAAGGAGTTAATATTCCAGAAATCTTTGTCCCTGACCCCCTTGGTATTAATCCAAATTCAACTGCTAACATTGAAAAAATTCTTTTCTACATTGAGAATATAGCAGGAATTAAAAATAGAACACGCAAATGGGCGATTATAACTTGCGATGGTATTCCATATCATCGAATAGCTAATATAAAGGATAAATATCCATGGTTAGTTCTTGTTCCCGGCCCATTACATGAGGAAATGAACATGCTTCGAGCATATGTTGAATTAAATTGGTAATTTGTATTTATACTAGTACAAATAGTAGTAGCTTTGTAAATCTCTATATTTAGTGGTTTAATGGTTAGCCCTAACTACAAG